ATTATCCGACCGGGCGCCAAGTAGTGCTGTCCCTTTGTAATATATGAGTGAAATTTACAGTTGTGGATGTTTGTTTGGAGTTGTGATTTTTGGAGGAAGAAACAAATGCAAGGGAAAACTAAAAAAAGGTTGAAGGGAAGAAGCGAGGCCTGATGAGGGGAATTTCTGAAAATAAAGGGCCAAGGATTGGGGATAGGACAGCGAAAGAAACCAGAGATTCAACTTGGTAAGTACAGAAAAGATTCAGAAGAACGAATTGCAAACACTTACTTTTTGGGATTTATAGTTGAAAAAATGGAACTCAGATTGGAAAAGAAAAAACAAGCTGAGAACAAGGAAGGGAAGTCAATGTTGTTCAACAAATATTCTAATGATTGGTGGTGGGAATCAAATCAAAGATAAGTCAAGAAGGTCCCAATGAAAAAACATAACCAATTACTTGGCTTGATTTAAGAGTAAAAAATTGTGACAATACCATTCCAAAAGGAAGAGTTGCTTAAGAGCAAGGGAGGAAAATTAAATCTATTCCACATGTAAGACAATCGGTAACACAATGATTGGTATTGGGAAAGTAAGGGTAAGCAAAGATTCAAGGCAGCAAAGAAATGATCCCAAAGAAAACATTACAAACATTTACTTTGTTATGATTCAGAGTAAAAGAAATCAGACTGAGATTATTGAAAATGAATCAGCAAGTAAGGTACAAGGAAGGAGAATTAATTCTGTTAAACAAATAAGTGATTGATCACACAAAGATTGGTGGTGGTAAAGTGAAAGAAATTGGTAGAGAAAAGATGCAGAAAAAATCACAAACACTTATGTTGTTTGGATTCCAATTGACAAAAAACTAAGTTTCAAAAGGAAAATTGGGTTTGTTTAACAAGACAAAGATTTGTAGATGATAGAAAGATTGGGCGCAGCAAGGTGAAGCAACCAAAGATTCAAGTTAGTAGAGAAAAGATCCCAAGAAAAAGCCACAAACACTGACGTTGTTCAGGTTTAGAGTGAAAAAAACACGCTGAGATTTGGGTAAGTTGTTTGAAGGATTTTTGGTAGCAACCCAGCTATTGAAACAGCAAATTACAAGGCTACAAAATAAAGGGGATTTAGGGAGGGAGCGATAAATTGAAGTTAGATCACAGAGAAAAAAACAAAGGTGCAAAGTGAGGATGATCCAGAGCATACGGCACAGTGCTCTGTGATTGTAAGATCTCAAGGTTCTGCAATTGAAAGTTGATTGTTCTTAGGCTCAAATTTTTGGTGTTCAAACTAATTGACGAGGCCGAGCTAAAAAGCCCTATATTCCGCACTGGAGTGTAGCACAGAGTACCACTTCACTTGGGCAAAGCAGGTCAAAGGATCAGGTGTCAAAGTACAGTCAAGGTTGGTTGAAATGGCATATATCTTTTGAAGAGCTAAGAAACGATTGGATTGGAATTGTTGGTGAATAAACTTGCACAATAATAGCAAATGAAGACACAAGAGAGGGCGCAGGGAAATATTTTACCAACTCAAGGGGAAAGAAAGAGAAAATAAAAACTGGAAGGGTGTTGCTCCAGTTGTCCTAGGGTAGGAATCAGATATCAGAATAGAACCAATGAGAAAGTATCTGAGTTAGAAGCTTCCTGGGTTCAGAATTTTTCTTTGGATGGGGAAAAGACTTTGGGCACTTATGTAGGTAAGCTATGTACATGAATCTTCAAGTAGACTTACATGTCTGAATCTTGAAAGTACAGAAAGTACTTTATGATTGAAAGTCTACATACACGTGTTTTACTCTTGAATCAGCTCATGTCCATGAACTGGGAAACCAGGCCTCCTGATATCTCATAGAACATACTTAACAATTCCACTGAGTGCTATTCTGCTCTCGAGCTCTCTAGTACGGATGCTTGCTGGATTGATGGATGGGAGTGGATCCAAAGGGCGGCCTGCTAAAGTGCCTCAATGAAAGGGCACAACCGCCATGCCGGCCCCACCTCCATCATTTTCATCAAAGTTGTCCAACACAAGTTCGGCGGGGGTCAGTTGGCTAGATTGATGTCTTCTCTTGCGGAATGCTGGAGTAGCACATTTACGTTGAGGATGGTTGACACTGGTTGAGGTTGAGGTGGAGGTGGAGGTTGAAACTTGTGATTGTTTGCTGACTGGTTTCTCTTTCATGCTTGGAAGCTTTTGAGAATTCTTTTGAGTCAAAGAAGCTGTAGGATTCTTTTGACCGGATTGAATAGGTTGAGCTTTTGGAGTTTTTGCAGTCAGTCGATTGCGTGAAACAGCTTGAATAGGAATAGGAAGCAGGTCATCATTGGCGTGTTTAGTACTTCCTTCAATTTGGCGCTTGATGTTCAAGAGTTCTTCATCTTCTTCAGAGTCGGAAATTGCAATTTGATTTGCACCGGACAAGCCAATGCAAGGCTTGACATCAAATCTTCATCTTCAACAAAGTCCTCATCTTGAACAGCCTCTTCGCCTTCTTCACCACCTTCACCACCTTCACCATCATCCTCTTCGCCTTCTTTGTCTTTCATCCTCTGCGCCTTCTTTGCCTTCATTCAAGCCACTATCCATAATCCCAAACGGGTTCACATTACCCTTGTCCTTGAGAATTTCATCCAGCTTTGAATACAGAGGGCATAACATCTCAAGCTTATCATCCACGTTGATTCCATTCAAATGTTCCGCATCGGTCACTCCAAAACCGGTGCTGATGCCTTTACGTTGGGTATCCATGTACTTTGCTTTGTATTGCTTCAATCAGAGTTGGAGTTGGCGTCCAGTAAGTCGCATCTCAGTGGAAGGGATTGCAACAATTGTAGTTGTTTTCCAACTGAATGGCTAGCTTGTTCAAGATGACCTTGGTTCCCTGCCCAGTCACTTTTGTTTTACCACCTCCACTAAAAAGAGAATTCCGAAAGTCTGGACGGATCAAGTGTTCCACAATTTCTTCGTAGTCAGCTAATTCAAAATTAGGGCTACTGGGTGTTAAGCTAGTGGCACCTGAAGACAGAATTGGTTGGACTTGAGTACTTGAGCAAGTTTTCTTTACTACACTAGGAGCTTGAGCACTTTGACCTGTTAAAACATTGCTTTGGCCGGCTGAGTGGTACGAGCTTTGCTGGCTACAAGTGACTGTCGAACTTCGGCTGGTGTAGGCTTACCCTTGCCTGTGCGTCCACTGGCAATCAGATCTTGCGCAAGCTGAGCTTTGGTTCTGTGAGTTCTGTGGTTAAGCTAAAACAGTTGTTTAGTGTCAGCTATACGCATACACAATCCAATAAGAAATTGTAATACATCACTCACTTCAACATTCATTTTGTACGAAGATCCGAAGATTTCCAAATTGGTTTGAGTTTGAAATTGATTGACTTGAATAAATATGAATTGTTCACTTAGATTGGGATGTAAGCAGCTTGGTGACAAATGAATATGAATGGATTGATTTGAATTGAGATGTAAGCAGCTTATCAAATGACTTTGGAAATCCAGTTTGAAGTTGATTTGAAATTGATAATTTGAGTTTGAAAATGATCGACTTTGGAGTTGATTGACTTGAATGATTCAAAATGTAGCTTATCAAATTCCTTTTGAAAATGATCAAGTTTGAAGTCGATTTAATCCAACAAAAATGAAGTTAAAAGAGATGAAATTGAGATTCAGGGTTTTGAGTGAATCAAACAAAAATGAAATTAGAAGAGATGAAATTGGGATCAAGGGTGGTAAGTTGACGACTTCATATCCTTGAGCTAATGAAATCCTTGAGAAGAAGATGGACAAGGTTGAGATGGATGAGGACAAGATGGATGACAAAGGGGGATTTGGTCTTGTCTGTATCAACCGCAGACAATCAAGTTGGTGGTTGAGCGGGTGAAAGTAGGGCAGAGCGTGTGAAACCTAAGGAACAGCCATTTGTTTCTTTTTCTTTTTTTTCCACCTCTGTCCTGCTACCACCGGCTTTCACCTGTTTGTTTGTGTTTGAGCCAGAAGACGTAAAAAATTATAAGACATCATCATAATTTATAAATCAGCAAGCCACCTTGAGAGGTGGCTCACAGGTTGTAAAATATAAGTTTGATTTCATGGACAACAATGATGCTGTAAAACGTTAAATGGGCCTTAAAAAGTTAAACTTGAACTGCCCTAATACAAACAAGTAAGATCTTTTGTTGGATTCCTAAATGTCAAGCTTCTGGGGTACAAAATTTTGTGGGACTGCCGTCGCAGGATCAAGAAGAAGTATGATTGAAATGTTTCAGAGACCTCAGGCCATACACTGTGTTTTGTCCAGAAAGTTGAACACATTTTGAAACGGGTGCGTTTGCTGATCGACCCGGAAGTTCAAAGTGATTCTTAAAACCTTCTGTTACGCAGGAACTTGGAACTCCCTATGTGAGGGAATTCCTTGGATTTGTTCCAATTCTTCCTACTGCAAGTGAAGAAGTTCATTGCTTTGCGCAATGAACAAAGTGGCGGGCAGAAATGGATCAAGACCAACATGTACAGATGGTGGAACAGCCAAATGGACATTTTTACCTGTTTGAGCTGGTCCAATTACAATTGGGGAAGTTAGTCGTTCCTATTTTCCTGTATGAATCAGGCACAGAAAATTTTGTGAAGTGTGTCCGTCCAACTCAAACATTCACCCTTGTCAATGATGCACCACATACGGAAGCCGCGACGTGAAGTGACCGCCACGTAGTTTTCAAATTTTGGATTTTGGATTTTGGATTTCGAAATTTTTGTTTTCAAGAGCTCATGCCCCTGCGTAATGCTCAATGTAGCCCAAGATGCTGTTGTGAATGCAATCCAAAAGTGCACCCCTTGCCCTGGGTGGAATTGAGCACTCTTTGAAGTGTACTGAGGTCCTGAAAAAGGGATGTTCGCGTCCTCACCTCTGTTCTCAACCATTTCCTCGCCTTAATAACTTCAACAATCTTACCGCTACAACCTACCAGTCAGTCATAGATACAGAGTGCGGAGACTGTGGAAATCTTTTCTCAAGAATGACCACACCCGTGTGCGGTCGATGCCAGTGGATGCAAAATAATCCCAATTCAGGACAATGTGAAACACCCCAGTGCACCAGTTGTGGGAAGTGCTATCGCTATCTTCAAGGCTCTGAATGTCCATCATGCAAGAAGAGCAGCGGTCTCTCAGCACTCGCACCACCTCCCAATCCAACCTCTTCTGCATTGACACCTCAAGCTTTGGCTCCAAACATCGGAATACCTTCAATCGCGTCAAGTCTTCCAGCGGAGCTGTTTCAGGGTGTTTTGAGTCAACCAACCTCAATTGACCCATCGACTTCTTCTAGTTCTAACAATTACTCTCGACTCAATGTTCCTTACGGCTCTCAAGTTTTAAAGTCACAACTACAAGGATCCATTCGGGCATCTCCGTCTGGGAGACGGACTGTTGGAAAGCTAAAGGGCAGGAAAAAGAAACATGTAGAGCGAGATGTCGAGGAAGATAGTCCAGAAATTAAGATTCCAATGACTTTTCCTTACCTGAGTGGAATTGGCAAGTCGACTGTTGTACATCCACTCACACCCCGAAAATTCAAAATCAACTTGAACAACTCGGACTGGTTCTGGACTCTTGGATGGGATGTCTACGCCTACTATTTGCAAGAGGCAGTCGACTCGGCGTGGCCATCTAAGCAGCTTCAGAAAGATAAGAAGATTCATCCTCTCCCCCCCAACTTTTCACCTACATACTGTATCATTGCTGACAATGGGATCTTGGTTTCAAAAGAGTCAATGGAATCAACAATTCAAAAGAGCAAGAAGCTTGATAGTAAGAAGTTTGGTTTAATCTTCAACATGCAGAAATACCTAGCCACTCTTCCGAAGGAACCTTTTCCCAAGCCTGAGAACTTGAAGCCTACGTCTCAAAAACGCAAGCAAAATTTTGAAATCACTGACAATGAAGATGATCCAACAGACAACTCTGAATTAGAATCTTCCTCTCGTACTCACAAGCGCAAGCGGATGTACGACTCATCATCTGAGGAAGATGACAAAATTGATTCCAACTTCAACAATTCCCTCCATCAACCCATCTGCTCCAAAAATTCCAAAGGCACCCAACCAAAGTCATGTGATTGTCTAGCCAAAAATTCAGATCAATTGGAAGAAAGTTTACACGGTGATTCAACCAGCATGGTACCATTTCCATCTAATGAACCTCAAACTCCACTTAGTCCTGGACAGGATCAAAAGGCTGATGATGACAATCACCAAGATAATGTAGGTTTTTTGGTCACACATGACATCCTACATACAACCAAATGATTAATTGATCTAATCCGTTTTGTATGACTGTGTTCAAACAAAGTATGCCCCCAAAGCCACTGTCTCGGTATCCGTACAAACTAATCAGACTCTCACAGTTCATGATATCTTGATAGGGCGGTTGGACAATGATGAATGTAGGTATTGAGTGCAATTTTTATAGGACCAATGTGTAGTAATCCTAATCTTTCATTTTGTTTTCGATCTCTAGCTATGTCCCTCAAAGCCTTTGGTAACACACACGAACTAGCTCCCTCTGCAAAGGTAATCCTTCCATACCCTGCTTGTTCGATCTTGAACTGGAACGAAGGCTGGCTTCTTTCGATGATCACCAAGAATGGCAAAGCAGCGTTCAAACCGGTCGCAATCTCCTTCCGTGTCAATTGAGATTCATTAATTGGTTCAGGTCGCAATATGGATTGCTTCAAAGCAGAACTGTTGCTTGATAATCAGGTGCATCGGGTGGTGGCCAAACAGAGACCAAGTCTTCACTGTCCTTTGGCGTACTATCAGTGTCAAGCACAGACATATGTGCACGTAGAGGGTGTTATCAACAGGTTCATTACTCAACTTGAAAAGGACCTGGTTGAGAGTTTAAGGGTAAGTTATTCATTTGATTCTCAGCTCGTCAATTGTAGCTGATTAGAAAAACCCTGCCTTGCTCTGTCCATTTGATTGTCAACCATTTTAGATCGTGAAGCGCTGGGTGGTTCAGATTGTGGGTACTGAAGAGACACACTTCATGATGAAGAACAATAGCTCGAATCTATGGCTTTTTGAGGAGGAGCTTGAAGGTGATTTTGTCAAATATGTCGGCAATTCAGATTTCACCGTCAAATAACCAGGAGATCAGCTTCATGAAATGCTCCATGCATTAACCCACTACCACTTGGATAAGAACGCTGGTCGCTCTTTCTTATGCGACTTACAGGGAGTCGGCTCCAACCTGACAGACCCATCTGTCATCGATCTCGAGTGAGTCCAGCACCTCATCAAATCTTCAAATTATCTTTTTAATGATTCTCCTTTCATCGTAGTAAAACCTTTTCAAGCGGAAACCTAAACTATGAAGGACTGGAGTTGCTCATTGATCACCACGAGGAAAACTCTTGGTGCAGAAACCTGGGCCTCAAATGTGTCGAGACTTGGACATCTCAGCTCAAAAAGTAGTTCAAGGCAAAGATCACAATTTTGAAAAGCAATCAATCCTCATTCTCCTTTAACAGTTCAAGTCAATCAACAGATTTAAGTCGCGTACCTTCAAATACTTCAAATACTATTTCACTTCTTACTTCAGTTCAACTCAAGTCATACCCAATTAAACCTCGATCTATCATATCAATCCCTTCCAAATATTCAATCATATCAATCATCAATATGTGATATTGTGTTGATCCCAAAATGCTTCACTCCAAATTTCAAATTGACTCTATACTACACATCAAAACACATCAAAAAGATGCGAATTGACTCGCTCTACACACCAACAAGATGTGAATCGACTCGCTCTAGCTCTACACATCAAAGACATGCGAACCAACTCGCTCTACACATCAAAAAGATGTGAATCGACTCGCTCTACACATCAAAAAGGTGTGAATCGACTCGCTCTTCTTCTCTTTGCTTTCAAGTTAATCCACTAATACCCAATACAAATAACTCATTCCTACACATCACTAATTCCTACTACACATCATTGATTCACCACTGATCACTAATTCATGCTAAACATCAAAAAGATAAATCGGCTGCCTTAGCTCCACATCAAATTTGCTTTTTCCTCTCATAACACATCCTGAAATATTTACATGATTATCTTGGAATTCTGAATGGTTATTGACTTTACACACCTTGTAAAATTGAAATTACGAGGCTGTTTTAAACCATCTATGCTAACTAGATTCACAGCTAAACCTCATGTAAATATGATATAAACTCGTGTATCTTTGTTTCCACAATCATCCAAATGAGAAGGAATGTACATAAAGTAGTCCATAAAAAACTGGCTATTGTGTGAATATTGGAATTGATTGTGAAGATTTTGTAACTGCCCCTTGAATTCCATGTATCTCAAGAAGAAGAAACAATCAAGCTGACTCATCTTCATCTTCATAAAACTCCTCTAAATCCAGATGTGGTTCATGCAGGATTGTTTTTTCATCCACATTTGTTGACAAAACTCTTCTTCTATCAGAGGCGGGTCACAATTCCTTTACTTGGATTGCCTTGCCAAACCCGTGGTACAAAAAAGACTGATGTATTGTTTGCCACATGCCTTTGATACTCTACTGTGACAATCTTTCCAGAAATTTCTCCACAAGATGGAATAAACACATGGCATTCTACTTCACCTTGGCCGGTTTGCCATCAAAATTGGCAAACGAAGAATATAGTTGCCATTTCTTATCATTCTCTCAAGCCAGTACAACTATGGTTTTGAAATTTGAGGTTAATCCAGTTCAGCCAAACTGACTCAATCAAAAGCCATCTCAGCGCTAATGGTTTTGTTGCATACGATCACAAGATTGGAAGTGAGGTATTTGTTATACAGGTAGTCATCCGCCATTCAAGGGATTCTCCTATGCATGCAGATGTTTTAAATACAATGAACCCAACCAGCTCCCTAACCACTTGCCGAGTCTGCAAGCTGAAAGTTTGGGTGATGGCTGAGAAACACCCTGAGAAGTATGCCTGCAGCTTTGTTGGACAGAATGAGAACCAATGCAAGGTCAGACTTCTCCAAATTGTGTACTTAATAATCAAAATGACAAACTCTGCATTAGAATCCACAATCCAGGGATACCTCTGGTCAATTGCGCAACAATAAGGGAACATCAGCCTTTTTGACAGCCAATCAGCTGAATTGGGATTATGATACGCACTCAATACATCCTTTGTCAAGCAGGTGCAGGCCGCGTACAATTACAAATCACTGTCACAAGCACAGATTGTGGAGCTTTGCTCTAATTTCAGCAGACAGTTTGGAGACCACCTGTTCAATCCAATTTTGCGGTCAATGGGTCACTCTCTTGTATTTCCTGTTGGTCATTTGAAGATAGAGCTAATGTTTTTTTGAATGAACTGTGTTAGTACAGGATTCCACGTGCGCAAGAATACGCCGGTTGAGATTTTGCACATAATGCTATTAGGAGTTGCGAAGTACCTTCTAGACACAAGTGTTTGCCTCATGAGAAAGATAGCATACAAGGTTGTACAATTCAAAATGCAAAGCTGAAACTGGAAGACCTTGATTGACACTTATTAGAAGTGTTGCATTTGCAGCAGTGTGATCAAAGGCCATGCCAATTAGATTGGGCATTTTAGTGTTGTTGAACCGGAGGTGATTGCGGCAATGGGGTGGTGAGGACTGGCTGAATCGAATTGATGGGAAGTTGGGTGAGATGAGCCAGTGTCACAGATGATTTGCACAGGAATCACATGTGCACACTACAACATCTACGTCACCAGCAAAAGATTGACAAATCCCTTTGTTTCCGTGATCACACCACCTTGTGAACATCCGTCTCTCCACCTCATCACCAGTCAGCACCATGAAATCGCGCCGCCCACCACGTAAGCTGCTCCAAACTCCGCCAATCAGTCAGGAAGACTCCAGGAACTTCAAAGGATGTTCAACCCAATCGCAACAGGGGCCAAGCAACACTCATAACAGTGCAGGATCACCTCCCCGTTTCAGCACTCAACAATTCAAAACCTCAAAGCCACATCCTACTCCAAATAGCCAAAAGCCCGGTGCCTCACAGCAATGTCCTACTCCTCCCCTCCGTTTGAGCGCTCCAAATGCCAGCACCTCACAGCAATGTCTTACTCAGCCCACTACTCAATCTCAACAAATCAAACGCCTACCACTTGTTGCTTGCGCTGTTACACAAATCTTGATATTTCCAATCAACAGCCCAATCTCTGTTTCCCCATACTGGATCTTGAACAGTTCAACCAATCTGAAAGTTGTAAGTTGTAATTCCTTTACAGGAATATTCAAATATTATCATAGCAACCTCATTTTTTGCTGTGATCAAACATGGGATGACAACAACTTTGACAAAAAGAAGATAACAACACTGATTGATTTGACCAGAACAAAAAAACAATGATGATTGCTTTGAGCAAAACAAAGACGACAAAGACAACAATGATGATGATGACTTTGCAACAATCAAAATATCAAGTCTCATCAATAATCAGCCCCACATGCGGGCACAGTGCGTCCAGCAGTGACTAGGCCAGCACTGAACCGTACAGCAGTGAATCAAACCAAATTCTTATCTACAAACACCTTGTCAAACCACATTACTGGCAAACTGCTTCCGTCTTTCAATCGTTTTGCAATATGTGCAGCTCTGGACAAAGAGCACAAAACTATTGACCAAAAGCTATGCAACGCAAGCATACCGCACAAAGCTACTCTCATTTATAATCAGGCCACTGATTCTCAAGACCAGTTTATCTCAAGCATGGTGACGGTCCTGTCCGCTTGCCAAGAAATTGCCTTGGCACGCAATGATATCTTATTCCAAACTCTACGTCAAACTGAAAGGGAGGCACCAAACTCAAAGTAAGACAATCTTATTTGATCGCATTGTATTGCATCAAACGGATTCAGTATCCATTTGTTGCAGCAATATGTCAAACAGATAGCATATCAGTGTAATCTATCCGGTGATGTACAAGCTTACACCACCAAGGAAGACAAAGAAGGCAAGCAAGAGGAGCTTCCCCACTCTCTGTATGCCAAAGTGATGGTACATGACAACATATCCCTAACAAAAAAATTCTACAACCAAGACAATGATTTACTGACCATAGTTACAGGCTGAGCTCCTTTCAGCTCCATCTGAATGGAAGGACAGACTCTTGCCTCCTGGCGACGGCAGAGATTCAGAACCTGGAGCTCTCACAAAGCTTCAGAAGTTGATTAATAACACATTGAAAGGTATTAGAAAGGCTTTCAAACCAATCACAAGTTTTCCATTTGCAGCCTTTGAAAACCCATCACCTTTGGTTATTCCTGATATACTTTGTCTTGCAGATGAGCACTGGCATTAATCTACCCAGCTGAGCTACTACATGTTGTTCCAACACAGTCCCCAAGCTTGAAACCATTATTCCCAAAGGACGTAAGTGTTTTTTGTTGCTCCTGTGGTCACATGTCTGACCTGGTCTTTTGAATTTTTGTTGAAAGCTCAAGAGGAAAGAAAAAGGGTTGATAGGTGGTTGACTTTGGTACAGAGAAGAGATAGTGGACAATACAACTGAGCTCCAAAAAAGTCAACATGTGTGGCTTGTAAGTAAACTAGTTCTGAATGTTCCATTCAATGATCACCCACCCATTTTCTTATTTGATTGTATCAGAGGATGCAAGCCGTTCATTGGGGTCTCCAAATATTGACAGAAAACCTTTTGGAATATTGTCAACAACTATCTAGAATATCTACATACTCAGTCCACACAATATTGCTGTGTGGGTTCTTTGTCTGCCCTTGTTGAGTATAACTACTCAAAACAATGCATTAATTGCCTCCAAACAGGTAATTCTTGTGCGTATTGCAAGACAATCTTGAGATATTTGATTGGGAGAAGGGCTTTCAACAGCTCCAGAATATCACTTCCTTTGTGCTGCCCAGCAATCAAAAAATTGAGCGTACAATGACCAAACTGGAAGAGACCTTTGAGATGATGTTGGCGCAGATGAAATTTAACTCGAGTCTTTGGAATCTTGAATCTGAGACAGGGGTTTATTTGTAATGTGCCTTTGTTTTCTGTTTATCAAATCTTCCCTGCTTTCTATTCTTTATCTTGTATATTATTGGTCTGTGTTGCATTTTGGTCAATGTGTTTTTCTGTCCTTTTTTGTGTTCTGTGTGCATATTCTATCTCTCTTTTCAGAACTTTGTTTCATCTTTTATGTTTTTGGTGTGTGTTTATCTCTAATTGTAAAATTTTCACACGTCTTCTTTTCTGTCTTTGGTCCATATTCAGTTCATGTTCTTCACCTTGCGTTGTTTTCTACTTATTGATTCAACATCTCTCTCTCTATCTCCCTTTGGCAATATTTCAAAGTCTCTCTTTGACCTTGATCATACCTTGATCATTTTGATGGCTTGTTCCTATTGTGTCTCATTGTATCAGTTTGTATCCCTTCCTCTAATTAATCAATTTTGTCACTTGCTCATGCCTTCCAAAAGTCTCTCTTTCACTTCCATCTGATCTATCTGTGTCTTTTGTTGTCCCAGACTCAATCTGTTCCTTTACCGTTTCCAATCATTTTGTTGCTCAGTCTGTTTTTAGTACTTTTGTATTTGGTCTGTTTTTTTTGATGTTGTCTTCTCTTTTATTTGTCAGTACTGTCTTTCACTTTCAAAGTCTCTTGTTTGTATGGCCCACTTTGTTTGTGTGTTAAATCACCTGAATTCCCAATTGATCCCAAATGTGCAGTTCAGTATGCACAATGTGCACAGTGAGTCTGGACGCACTGTACATGCTTTTACCAACACCAAGCAGACACCGTAATCAAACCGTTCCAGCGCGGTATAAAAACCCCGGTCATAGCTAGACATAATCTGATCAATTGGTGCAATAGCCATGGATACACAACCTCACAACTGCTGAGCACACGGCTTGTCAAAAAGTCTGCAACAGCAGATCTCAACAGATGCGGACCCCAGTGTTTTCCGAACACTGCATCCCCTGCAAGCAGGAACGTTTGCACACCGGTGTTTAGGCCCAGGTTGAGGACCCTTTTGCTAGGGTTTCTGGTGTACCAGCAATTTGGATCCATACTTGGAAGACAATTTTTTTCCCCAGTTTCCAGTTTCCGTTTTTGGCTGTGTTTGAAACTTTCCCACGTTCTCCCAGGTTCTCAGTTTGCGTTTATGGCGGTATTTGGGAAACTGGGAAACTGGGAAAAAACTCCCAGTTTTAACTTTGTATCCCCTAAATACTCACGGAATTTGCATTGGGCATCGGATGGCTCAAGATGAGGAACAAAAGCACACTAAAACTCAATTTTGTTGGATGGGCTTTGGTTTGTAAAATTGGGTCAAGAGAAGAACATAGAGTTCCATTGTATGGTGGGAAGTTTGAATGCGTACCAAGGTTGGAATTTTGGTGCTTTTGTCTTTTGATTGATATATTACCTTTTTCTGTTGTATGATATTGAGTATGAATTTAAAATATATACGGAGGAAATAACAAATTGTCATTTCATAAGGTTTGGCCACTTTTTGAATGAAATCTCAGTCTTAGAGGAATTTCTGAGTATATGTTATAAAAAACAGTATGTATCTCTTCAACTTCAACTGCCCTCTTCCTCTTTGTTCTTTATGATGATTAGATTGTAATATTTTAAAATCTTTTGTCATTAGCAAGGTTCAAGTCAAAATAATTTGGACCTAAAATGGCTTTTAGACGTTGCTCGAAGGTTGTAAATTATAACTCATGTCTTATGACTTGCGAGGAGCTTTAGAGATACTCACGAGGTCCAAAATTATACGACAATGCCTATAATTTCAAGACGATTGATTTGTTTTTTGGATTGAGAAAAAATCCGGTCTTTTTTTGTTTCAAGAAAAGGCGTACGAGTAGTTTTTTTTTTCCCTAGTGGTCGTTTTTTTGTCCTTCCCTCTTGTTTAGTCCATAACAGCAGATAAAATGCACACTTTCCAGCACTTGTACCTTTGTCTCAAAGCTCTTTGTCTTCTTGTTATAAGACGTGGTGGCCTATTTTCAAACCATTCTTGAGACGTCCAAGTTGGTTTTAGGTAAAATTTGCATTAAAAAACTCTCTCAGATGCTGTAAAATTCCTACTTGGAATTTGTGACTTGAACCCTGCTGTCGTTGATCCAACATAAAGGTATCTCACATTTCTGATTTTTGTTTGATCACCTTCTCAAGAAAAAAAGCTGGAAGTGAACAGAGGATTTTTTAGTGTCAAAGTTCAAATGAATGTTTCCTTTCTTCCAAAAAAAGAGAACCTCGTCTTCATGTTTTAGTTTAAACCAGTTTACTTTGTTTCTTCTTTTGCACTTTTGATTTTCACTTTTAGCAACAATTAAAAGATTGACAAAAGAAGAAGAAAAATAAAAAGAAAGACAAACAGAAACCCAGAATGAACAAAGGTATAATAAAGAGAATGAAAGGGAATGCAACAACAAGAATAACAAAAAATCTGATCATCCAAAGAAAGTCCTTTGAGTAGTTTCAAATCAAATAATTCCAAAAAATTCCAATTATAAAAAGATGATTGATCCATTTCTTATGAACAAATTCTTAGCAACAAATTGCAAGTTTTGAGTGCACTCTAGATAAATCAAAAGGGTGATATACTGAAGGGATGCTATACTGAACCCAAAATACAGGGCTTATGTAGCTTCCATATGTAGCTGACCCGGACAATATTTATGAAATGCAATTTGATTGAGGCTGACTTTGGGAGGTGTCATTCCTCTCTCTCCGTCAGATTCATGAATTTTGAGTCAGAATACCAAGGTATACACAATGAACATTCATCCCAATAATCCATCAAAAAACTATAATCAATTGTACTTGTCACAAGTGAAACACAAGATGATGAGATAAGAGAGATCTTGAAGAAAACACTACCAAAAAACGTGAATACATGGCCAACTGAACATTTGAGTTGTTTAATCCCCTACTCATTGTGATGAAGAGTCAGATAGATATTCCATGCAACACCATCATAGCTTAGGATCCTAGGTTTGGATCTGATACAGGAGCCTCCACATTAGCGCCATCCAGATGGGCTTGATGAGAAGATGGGTGAATATCCAAATAGTGATGTGGTCAATCTTTACATGCCTCTTCTTTCCATCACATGTGGGTTGGAATTCATCAATCCTAGGTTCAGTTCTGCATACACTGCTTGATACAGGTATTGTGTTGAGCGGAAGATTGAAAAGCACAGTAATATAGATGTGTGTGGTGATTGTATTGATATGAGCCCTTACATATTTGCACTTGCTGGCATCTTAATGTTTTTGTTGCCGGTTGATGATCATGAACTGATCATGCTGACATCTTGGAGACAACTGAATCATAAACATGTAAGATCAGTCTTTCTAACGGATGATAGTGTTGAGTGCTGACATGTAGAGTTTATACATTGTATATATCTTACAACATGGATAGGTGTTGCAAGTGAGATATATCAAGCTGAAATGATAAACTACATGAGAGCAGACATCTTTACAAAAAATGTGGAAGTTCTTCAGCCAAAGAGATACCGTTTTAACTAAAACTGAATTAGAAACATGTCAAATTACCCTTTATTAGGCTGACAGCTGAATCAAGAATTTGATGACCTCAAATACTGAAATCTTGAGTTTTTGAATTGTACATATCTTACAATGTGTATAGTAATGTCTGAAGTGGGATATATTAAGCTGAATCAATAAAATACATGGGGATTCAAGAATCTACAAAGACCTTGAAGTGATTCAGCTGAAGAAAATTCATGTCAAAGAAAATCAATCAGAAACATGTCCGATTACCCTTTAGAACTAATGATAGCCTCAAATACTGACATGTAGGGTTTCTGAATTGATAAACTACATGAGTACAGAAGTGTACAGAAGACTATGTAATTGGGTCAGGCAAAGAGAGAGGTAGCTTTCAATTGAGTTTTGACAGTTAATATATACTCAGCAATGTCAAGAGGCTTGATTGCCCAGTCCATGCACATGAGCTGACTAAAATCTGAGTCACATATAGCTTTGAATTGTACAGAAGTAGCTCTTGCACTTACAACACATTCTAGGGTGTCTGTATTTTGAAGTTTCAGACATGTAAGTGAACTGATTACCTACATATAAGTCACCCCATGGCTCTTCTTCTCTTGAATCCCTTCTAATCGGCTACTACAGAAAAACCGAAACGACTTCCTTCTGATTTCAATTTTCTCTTCTCCTCAGCTTCAATTGGTGAAAAACTTTCCTTTTCAGTCTCTTATACTGGCATCTTGTTTTTTTAGATCAAATTCCCTGGTTGTTGACCCCAATGTCAATTTGCTTGATCTATAGCTCTCCAAAGGATATATCTCATTTCAACCTAGCTCAGCCTTACTTTGACACCTGATCCTCTTTGACCTGCTTTGCCCAAGTGTAGTGGCACTCTGTGCTATGCTCCAGTGGGAATACGGGGCTTTTCGGATTTGGGTTCTTTGTTTGGTTTGGACACCAAACATCTAGGTAAGGTGTAATTTTGATTAAAGACCTTTGGACTTTTCAACCTGAGTAACCATTGTATTGCATATGTTCAATCTTTCCTCAATCCTCTTCATGGCAATTCAATCTAATTTTGATCTCTTCATTACTGCATGCTACTCAATGTATTAGCCTCTACCATACTTCAACACCTAATCCTCTGATCTGCGTTCCTCAAGTTAAGTGGCACTCTGTGCTACGCTCCAGTGAGGAATACAGGGCTGTTAGGATTAAGTTATCTGTTGGGTTGAAAAGCCAAATATCTAAGGCTAGGAATAATTGATTGGCTTTCAATTAACATTCTCTGAATTCCAGATAATACCATGTAATGTATGGTTTGAATACCGTTACTGCTTTGTATGTTCTATATTTGCTATTCAATCTAACTTGAATTTAACCCTGCCTTCTATTCCGGTCTCATTTAATTAGCTTGTATGGTCACTGCCTTATAGCTTGTTAGCTGGTATGAAAACACATTCAGGAATTCTTTGGTATGTATTCACCTTGTATAATCTACTTTTGTGCCTTTTTTACTCATCTCCATTCTCTCCCCATCCTAATTCAGCTGTTGGTATTGATCTTGGAACCACCTACTCTTGTGCAGGTGTTTATTGAATTTGATTTCTGATCCATTTGGTTCAGACCCCTCTTCTATAAAGTAGAAATTTTTTACATACAGTGAAAATCTTTCATTGAAGTCAGGATCACATCACTTATCAATTCACTCAACCTACTTTTGAAAATGTCAACAGCTAGTCTCACTAAGCCTGAGCTTCTCACTTTACTTCAGGGTATCTTTGCTCAACACTCAGAACTCAAACAATCTATTCCTGGGCTACTTCCAAAACCCACAATTGAAGCTATCACCAACATACTAGTGGGGTTTGAGAGTCAGCTCTTGGAATCAATTCCTGACAAGCGCACTAACCAAGAGGAATACATATGGAACCGAGTTCAATGTGTATTCCAAAAGAGTACGTCAACAAGTGTCTTGGTTTACTCAAGATTTGGACCAAAGGCAAATCTGGTATTGAACAATCCCAAATCCACATGACAGTCTTGAATCATTTCAGTGTTCTGCACTTACTCACAAGAAGTGGTTTTGGTTGCAAACTTGTTGTCATCACAACCATTCCACTAATGTCCACTGCAAGTCCAGAGCCAGTGGATCTGTCTGAAGACAAGTGGCTTCCACCAGACAACGATATATCAAGTGTTTCCAGCAATTGTTCCAACAAATCCATGATTGATCATGATCTGCCTTCCAGCTCTACTAGAAACAAATCAGCCAGCTCTTGCGCATCAGCTTGTTGGTCTATTCCCTCGGATTCTCCACCTGCCTCCTTCAGCCACTCACCCAAACTTGAAGAATTCACTACTGCAGGCAAAAGTGCTTTCAATGAAGATGAACAAGGACCTCACCTGCCGACCAAATATTGTAAGTGATATAGATATATCTTACATAGTGTTGCATACAATTGTTGATGCTCTCTGATGCCACTTTCAGATCGACTCACACACTCATTAGCAGATACTAACCATAAACTCAAACTTGTGACCGAGGATTTGACAGTCTTATGGCAGGTTGTGAGACAAATTGTCAATGGTAAACCAACCCCCGCACCTCCCAAAAAACACAAGGAGGAAGGTCTACGGTAAGTGATCAAACTTCTTCCGCATTAAGATCAGCCAGGCTGACTGTGACCTTACAGGCTTGGATGTGACTACACATTGACACCCTCTCAGGGCTGATACATCATTCCACAAGACACTGCCAGCAACCGACAAGGATCAACAGGCTTGGAAGACTGATGTTGACCTTAAAAATCTTGAGCCACGTCTCTCAGCCAGCCCCTGACTCTGATGAGGACGGCCCATGCCATCCCAAAGCAACATCACAACAACTCCTCGTTATTCGGATCATGATGAGACAGGTGGGGGCATCAAGCTTCTGTCCCAACTTCTCCAAATCTCCATCTTCCACACAGAACAAGTGGTTGTGGGATCTAGCCTTTAGAATCTTTATCAAGCTGGTCAAGCGTGGTAAGTATCCCGGCGTGTCACTTGAAGAAACGAACCTGAAAAGTCTCCGAAAACTTTTGAATACACGTGTATAATCAATCATGGAATGGTGTGTCTTCTCCCCCTCTCAACATGTACTCTCAAATTCTGACCTGTTTGTCTGCAAACATTGGCTCAGGTATCAGCAAGACAATTGGAACCAGGCACACAAGAAGAGCGCTGCTAGCACAGTCCGAAGACTTTCTCAGCTAAGCTATGTGCAACATTTTGTCCTCAGTTCCTTCTCTAACATCTCCATGTGACTGATGAAAAACCTTTAACAGACCAAGAAACTGCGTGAACGTATTGTGCTGTCACAACAGTCTTTGTGGCCTCCTTTAGCCATCATCCAAGCGGCTTGCAGTGATGACAAGACAGATCATAAGGATTGTCAAGATAACAGCAAGCAACAACAAACCATGTGTCACATCCAAAAGCTGATTTGATGCAGTTCTAAGTTGACAAACATCTTTATCCTGCTAGATTCATATAAATCAGGTCTAAACGCTAGTGTCCCTAAGCCCCAAAAGGTATCCTTGGTTTCCAACAATCTTCCTGATAACAATGATCAGAATTCTCCTTCAAGTAATGGACAACCTCCACGGCCTCGTCGCAGATGCTCAAATTCTCTGATTGCAGAAACTCCGGCCCCTGCTGGTCTTCCAATAGACTGTTACTCATCACAATATCTCAAATCATCCACTCCCTCTGAAAGGAGTGCACTTGAAATTGATAAGAAAGCTCTTCTTGCAGATATGCTTAGAATTGTCAAGTCGTTGGGCTTATTGATTGTATTGTGAGTTAACAATTTGACTATCATTAACCATAACTTAACAGTAAAATTTAACTATATACATGAATGTGTCATAAGTCTAGTTATTCAGAAAACAACCAAAACCTCCTTGTTGCTCCATAGATACTAAGGCTACTGTTGACACATTCAGAGTCTTGAGAATCAAACCAGGACCATACATCATCCAGGCGCAGTGCTCCACAACCTCATCTAGTCGCACCAACACACTCTCGGGTTTGTCCTATAATCTTAACTTCACTTGCATATTGGGGGCATCAAACTTTGCAAACAGATTGTATTGACTGGGAGACAGTGCACAAAAGGCTTGTACACATAGCCATGTATCTTTTATAAATTTATCTCCTTCTAAATATGGTGGTGTGAAAAGATAGAGTGAATTTGGCCAAACCAGTTGTGTCCTTGTAGTGAATTAAAGACAATAAAACTATCTTTTCAACTTACTCTGAAGCTTGAGAAGTTCACTTCTAAATGTGAGACTTGATTGTGAAATATTGCTTGTGCTGACACAGGAGCCAAGGCCAGAGAGTTTCCTTTTGACATTTCAGCCCACCGTTCTGGCATCACCCAAGTACAGTCATCTAGCCCTTGAGAATTCAAGTGCTTGGTCAAAGATTTCAAGATGATATGTTCAAGAGGTTCCATCTTTGAGTTTGACGCTTGCCTTCAAAGCTTTTCCAATGGCTGGTATAAATTCTCCAAACAGGCTATGTAAGGATGGAGAGCTTCAGGAAGCTTCTCATCTTTGAGGATTGCAGCCAGATCCCCGCCCAACAAAAATTCTTCATAAATGTCAATTCAAGTTCACATAATCATTTAAAATCACATAAAGTTCAGTGTTTGAGGAAAAGTTGAAAGACTACATGATGAGCTCACCAATATAATTATTATGAATTGCTTTAAGGATTTTCCCCATCAACCTTTTGTAGGGGAATGACCACCAAGAGCGGACTGGACCAGCTTATTTGAGACAGTTAGCTAAATGAATAGCCATGTGGTGGTTACAGGTAGGTTTACAGTGCTCAAAGAGCACAAATGAACTTTCAAGATATTGTTGAATATGATGGCGGTAGTATGAAATGATCAATGATGTCATCACACGCTTTAGAGCCAGGTTGACTAGGGATACTAAGTGACAGAATTTCCTGAGTAATGAGGTGTCGATATGATCATGACCATACCAAATTGGAATCAGTATCAAAGGTAACTGAATGGTGAACAAATTTTGCCACTCATCAGCTTTTAGTTTTCCAAATGAAGCTTTACCCAAGACTGGAAGTGCATGTTTGATCCAGCTGGGGATATGAATATCAAGAAGTAGTGCATTGATATCTTTCAACATTTGCACATCAAAGATTATTTGGTCAATAGGTGGGGGCTCCCACGTGCCATTCCACCCTTCTCCCAAAGGAATGAAATCATCATCACTTGAATCCGTATTATCTGAAAGCAAGAGATCATTTATGTTCTCATCATCATCTTCATCAACTGTTGCCACCGGAAACTCTGTGGATTTTGCTTGTGATTGTGGATTTGAATGCTCTGAAAGAAGATTCAATAATCCAGCAGTACTAATTGAGTCTGTCCTGCCTCCTTCATCTACTATTTCTTTCATTGACCAGAACCGCCAACAGTGCCAAGCTAGTAGTCCAAGTAGAAGATTATGAATTGAGTCTACCACATGGTTGCTGACAATGTCCCAATACTCCAGATCTACTAAGACTGAATACCTTACGCCATGGGTTTTGAATATTTTTGCTCTTTCCTTAGCTGTTTCAGCATCTTGTGCTGAATACACCCATTCTTTGTGTTGGCGAGTAGGACGTGGAGGCCAAGTTGAGAAATCAAATTTGCTTGCCTGCGCCTTTGTCAACAGACACATAGAGCAGAAGATGTTTGCATTTGCACTTGGAAAGCCAAGGGATTGTTGTAATGCAGGTAGGTCAGCTATAAAGAGTAACAGAGCAACCCTGATGAGGCAACCTTTTTTGTGAGAATGAGTTTGTGATAGTCGTAGGCCAGGATTCCATAGACTTTGAAGTTGAGTTACAATTGGGTGTAAAACCCAGTTCATCTGCTCAAGAGATGGTTCTCATGGTCCTGGGACAACACCAACTAAGAAACCATTCTCCGGTTGATAACGGATCTTGAATGGTAGCGTAAGGCACACTAGCACAATGAATGCAATTGAGACATGGTGTCCGCTTTGCTTACAGTAGACTCTGACATAACCAATACCCAAAAAATGGGGCTCAAAGCTATTGGTTTTGACAGAGTATCCTTTTTGTCAAATCTTTGGGAAAACCGATAGTGGTCAATTTGCAGGGCAATTATTGGGTTTGAGAAAGAATTTTATGAATTGTACGTAGTCAGGTGAGAAACAATGGATTGGGCATTATTTTCATGCAGGATGTTTCTAAAAGTTCATGATTTCAAATGCAAGTGAACATTCAGCAATGAAAAAACTGAGCAAGAAGTACTCAAACAACAAAAAACTGGTCAAATAAACCACGAAATTATCGGTTTTGCACCGATGTTGAGCCTGGGATTCCAAAAAGTCAGTATCAGTTATTGGGTTTGGCAGGTTTATCGGTTTTGAGACCAATTTCCCTGCAAATAAATTTCATTTGATGAAAAAAGTATCGGTTTTTATAGAGTATTGGGTTTGACACATATCACTTATATCAGAGTCTACCGTATTACCAAATGGATTTATTCCATCCACAAACATTGCAAAGCTAAGATTACCCCTCTGAGACGTAAACTGTTTCCCGTCTGGGCCGCAGAATGCTTTCCACATCTTTGCTTGATGGATATCGTGCACAGGCTCGTCAGGATTGAAAGGCTTGGCTGACTCTCCCAAAGACTTGTCAAGCAAAGACTCAATATCCAGGCGCAAGAGCAATTGTGCAATCCAGTTGTTGAGGCTCTGAAATGCATAGCGCCGTACAGCAAATTGATTGCCTCTGGAAAATTGTAACAAAGGCATGCCGCAGAGACTTTCGGTGAGATCAGGAGTATAGTTGGATGTGAGCTTCTCAGATAATTCAGTATCAGATTCTGTAGCATCCAGCGGACCCCCAGGAATGCTAGAGATTCTATGGTTACATGTGGGTGGGGCACTTTCAAGAGGGTACAAAGCAAAGCACAATGGGCATCAATTCATATATATAAGAGCAGGGTGGATCTGTAGCCATCCAAAAACCGTCGCAATTGATTGTGGAATCTGGCCTATATTTTCATCACCATAAGGCAGAAGTTGAACTGGGGAGGAATTTGGTCTCAGCCTGTGCATTGATGAGAGTTCAATATTGGATCTTTGCACATCTAGAAGCCAAGAAGTTTTCTTCAATGATGCATGGCTAAATATATTCATGAGTGCTGCAGCCAATGCTGCATGCAAGTGTAAAGGGGTTGATGTAAGGACTTCTTATGTCCTCACTGAAGTACGTAATGGAAGGGAAGGAATTTGAAGTTATTGAATATCTATCAGGCGCGTTGGGACAATCAACACCACAAAGTGGTGGAAGAGGTTTCTAGAACCAAAGTATACAATGAATTATACAAACCGACTCCAAGGAGACAATGACAAAGATCAGTCAAAGATCCTTAAGGAGGAAAAGGATAAATAAAGAGAAATACATGAAAGACGTACCTGACTCCAAGAAGACAATGACAAAGATCAGTCAAAGATCCTTAAGGAGGAAAAGGATAAATAAAGAGAAATACATGAAAGACGTACCTGACTCCAAGGAGACAATGACAAAGATCAGTCAAAGATCCTTAAGGAGTCAGTTAGAGGTAGCATCATGGATGAAGAGATATAGAGGACTTAAGTCTTAGGTCTAAGGTATGTTAAGTAAGATAATTGGCCTTCTGTAATGACGAGTAACATGAGGTATTACAGTTGATGAGATCTAAGCTGAATCCAAAGAATCGTGCTGTCAATATTGATGTTGGTAAGCACTTTGTCTGTTTGTGTGTATGAATCAATCATCAAGAACCAACATACCACAGCTGTAGGTCTGAATGTCAGATTCTTGTGTTGATTCTGTAGCAAGCGGTTCTTCTGACTTCTCAACACACTTGGTGGTATTCCAGTCATCAACGGAGATATTGGCTAACAGAAAAGGAGTTGATTGACCAATGGCAGCTAAAGACGAGCTGCCTGGTGTCAAGTCCAAAGGTCTGGTACCTGATGTTGTACTTGACCGATTGTTGAGGGGAGCCCGTTGTGCACTACCAGATGGTATTGAATGATCAATGATACCCAGACCTACTCTGTCAAGCTGTGATGCCAGATTGTCCTGGCTTGTCTCATTGGTCTGAGGGCAAGAACCAAGCCAAGGTGGTGAGGGTAACTGATCGTGCCCAGCACTGGTGGCTACTTGAACTTGCTGACGTAGTTCTGTCTGTTGATGGGCTTCAAATTCCTCTCAACTCTGCTCAACTCCTGGAAAGGCCTTCCCATCCGCGTCTATGTAACGGCCAGCGGAGCATTCATATGCTTGCCAAGTGCAGACATACCTTTGGGCGGAACAGGTAATCTTTTTGGGTGAAAGCATCTTAAAGGTTGAACTGAGAAGAATGAACTGAAGCTCAACAAGTTGGAACAAAAATGGCAATGGCAGGTATTGACACTACAACAAATGACATCTTTACCCAGGGGTATAGAAAAGTAGTGTGGGCATAGAAAACTATTGGTAGGGTACTTTTCTATACCAATAAACAATGCTTTTGATACACCTATGTACAATATTTGAGATTGAGAAATTGAGTATTTTCTTTGTGCTGACTCAGCTGTATGTATTGGGACCCACAGGCAGTGTTACAGTGCACAGAATCTCAATTTTCTGTTTTTTGATATTTTCACCCTAAAATACAATTCTATGCTGATACAAGAGATCTTCAACCATGTTCAGCATTCTGTGAAGATAATGTAGTTTTCCAAGGTGAAAAAAGATTACATTTAGTCTACAAAATGATTAATTCTGCATTAATTCTGCATTATTCTGCATTAATTCTGCATTATCAATCATTTTGGTCATTAAATGCAATCATTTTGCACCTTGGAAAAATACATTATCTTTGCAGTGTATGCACAATCTTACACAAATTGACAGACACTCTCTACATATGTACAATATGACTGATGGACCATGCTTTCCCATGGGACAAGACCCAAGAAGGGCTTTGATTCTAGATTCATATATACAGTCCTTGTGGTCATGTGAATATTTTCATCTGTGGGTATAGAACAGAATGGTTTGTCTAGGCATAGATGATACTATCTCTATGGATATAGAAAAGTACTTTACCCATAGTTTTCTATGCCCACACTACTTTTCTATACCCCTGGGTAAAGATGTCATTTGGTGTAGTGTGAAGCTCTCTAGGTTATGATATGATAAGATTGATGCATCAGGAATTTGTTATATGACTCAATTACTGGAGAATTGAAACATTTTTGAATGTCACATTGCCTCTTGCAAAAGACACTCATTGCAAGACTGGTCCATGAGGAAGGTGCATGCTCTTTTAGAAAGGTTAGTCTGATGTGGTACATTAGTGAGAAGCCTTCACCCCTAATGGTTAGAAGACCAAAAAAGCAAGGGGATGAATATACCAAAAGAGGTATCTTATGTCACTCATCATTGAGTAAGAAGGAACATGATATTGTTATATACAAAGGCTAATACGCTTGTGACTTCTAATTGTCCAACTTATTCCTTTCACTAATTTCACCATCATCTTATCATCATACACCTAACATTTCTGAATTTTCTAATTCACAAACATTAGAAACTAATTAGTTAACCAATATTTATTTTTGCTCAATTTACAAGTAGTATCACCTCACTGAATACTGATCATATAGTAAACAACAATGATAGTTTAGACACTAATAATTTGTTAACAAATCGTAACATCTTTCACTTAATTCATTTTCCTTCCCACACAACCTAGTTCTAACTTTAGCCGTTCCATCAATACATCCCACACTCATAAACTTCTACAGTAAAGAAACAAACCTCTAATTATAACCAGAATGTCCAGTACCAAATCAAGAGCAATGAGAGCTAATAGAAGAGCCCAAGGGGAAATTATGCAAGAACAGAATGCAGTACCAGCAGAATCTTCCATTGACGGAGTAGATTTACCCCCAGACAAAGAACAGGAAGTAGGAGAAGACTCTGATTCCGGTAGCAAACTAGAAGATCAAAGAGAAGCAGAAGCTCAAGACAAACAGAGAATCAAAGAAGACCAGAATCCTTTGAACAATCAACTCAACAAAGAAGATTCACAACTAGAATACAAAGCAAATGAATCCAACCCTGAAGCCTTGGATGACCCCGCTCAAGATTTCGTAGAGTCCCACAAGTCAGATCCTTCAGACAAAGGAAGTACATCTTTGAGCTCATTGGACTCAGAAGACAATACTGGAGATTCAGACGACTTGGGATCATCATACTCTTCAGAAGACTCAGACTCAGACCCTTCTACCCTGTCTTCTGGATCAGACTCTAGCTCAAACTCTTCAGAATCTGGCAACAGCTCTGAATCTTCCTCTCACAGAAAGAAAGAATCCAAAAGAAGGAAGAAGAAGTGCAAGAGTAAGTTTAAACAATCCTCCTTATTTCACACAACCACTCCAATAAAACTACATACCGTTAAGAAGCTTGCTGTTCAGCTAGAAACTCTTACCATCCAAAAATCCCCATCTCTTCTGTAACACTTAGTATTATTTGCAAATGCTTGCTTTATCACCTGTAGCTTACAGATGTCACAATGAAATACCGTGACATCTGTGTAAAAGCATACGGCATCGTACCGTAGGCCTCATATTAGAAGACCCAGATGTCTGGTCAAACGGTTTCACCCATTCCCACTAATAATGTACAAGCCAAACATACCTCATTTACACAACACCCCACAAACCCCCAAAGTCCGTTTCAGACGTGTCTGCTCCATCCACCCAATGGCACACACATCTAATACCCCATTCCCACATTCCCACAAGCTGCTCCGTAGCAGCAAGTGTCCCCCATTCACACAATCACATCTGGGTCGTTTCAAAACAACAAGTCAACTCTAACACTCATTTGGTGGGTGCAAGCTTGAGAAAAATTATGCGCCCGGAGGGGTCAGGCGCGCCCTCATTTTGGCTGGGGGTGCAAGAGGGCGCAGGAGGCGTGAAAAAAGGACAAAAATGGGCCAAGTTTTTGATGATGCTTTTTCAGCCACATCTTCTACATCCCATAGAAAAATAATAATCTCATATCAACACCCTATATACAAATTCAACAGCAATAGTTGTACAACAATCAAACAAATCAAAAAAAATCAATGAACATGTGTTGCTATCAATGTAGTCCAAAATTTTGTTGCTGGGGTAACTTTCAATCCAGACTGTAAATGGTTCCATGAGTGGAAGAATATGGTGTGGGGTTGCACCCATAACACACATTGCTTGGCTTGAGATGATTTGAAGGTGGAAGAAGACTGATTTCAGCAGAAAACCTTGTAGATCACATGCTTGGGTCCATGGGCGCGCCCACTCACATTCAAACCAAAAAAGACGCGCCGGCGCCAGGCGCATACCGGGCGTCAAAATCGGGCCGCGCCCACCACATGATCTAACACACATACCCACCACATTCCCTCATACCTGCATTCCCACTGCCCATAGCAGCAAGTGTTTCACACTTCCACTTCCACATCCATATGTGTGTCATTTCAAAACAAGAAGTCATTTCTATCTCACACCTCCTCAAACCAACAACCCACATCACACTCATTCCATCCAGCAAAAAAAGATTGTTTGATTGTGAACAAACATAAGATGTACATACTCCTGTCAAATCAACTATGTTGAAATCATATGTCTCGACTTGAAAATTTTGATCACGATCAATCAAAATCAGCTTATCTCACAATTCAACATGGGCATCCAAATCATCTGACTACCGTTTGATCACAAACAAACAGAATGAGTACATACTCCGTGTAAAATCAACCACATTGAAATTACATTTCTCATTCTAGAATTTTGATCATCATGTTTGATCATAACAACATACTACTACAGCTGAAAAGCACATGACCAAACTTTGTCAAACAAGTGGAGTCGTGGTCGTGGACTAAGACACACGGCTGACAGCAGATCAAATCAAACCACTGAACCAATGTAAATGAAATGAAATCTAACTGTCATTACACCCAACATCCTACTTTGGTAGCTTTCATTGTTCCAACAACAATCTTTAAGTCATTTTTCCAAAAAGGTAACACTATCAAACTAATGGCAAATTACATCGTTTTGACAAGATTATTCTAACTAACTATTGGACACAGTGGCATTCTCCCCCACATTGACGACTACTTCATTCTCTACCTCATTGTCACCTTCACAACATCCAGCAACATCTCCACCAACTGCCGTAAGCACTTCACTAGAATGATTTGTGAGTAACTTCACCTTGAACTTCCCTGTGTTGATATCGTCTATCCACTGACGCCGGGCCTTTGCGTTCATTCCTGTGAATCCCTTGAGAAAATCCACTTCAAGCAGACTTGAATCTTGGGTGCGTTCAATGCCAACTGGGATTTTGCGCTCTTTCAAAGCGCCAATTGGATCAGCCACCTTGGGAAAACTCTTCTCATGACTGACTTCAGCTACATGTCAGGAGGTCACAAGTCAGCTGACTATACACAGACTATACACAAATAAAATAAACCTTGGTTGTATACATACCCAATAATCAATTCAACATGTCACTCAACGTCTTCTTATCCGTGTCGGATTTGTTGTTTGACGCTTTGTGAGTAACAGAAGGTGTGTTTTTTGCTGCTGCAACCAAATTGACTTGGTCAATTGTACTTCCACTTTGACCAAAAAGGGGGAAATCATATTTGAGTTGTGCCTTTGTTTCGACCCAAGTAGACATCTCATCCCAAGATGTACATTCTCTACACCAACCTCCACCAGATGAACTGCTGCTACATGCAATTATGTAATATTCAAGTCCCACAAGGTGGTGGTATTGGGCAAGCTACAAAAGTGCATCAATGTACAATAGATACATGAAGCAATCAAAGACCAGTACTCACTTCTTGCGCTATCTTTTCCATACATTGAAGAGATTGTTTCTCTTGTTTTTGACAAGATGCCAAGGGTGTATTCAATTTGCGATCCCTTTCCACTTTTTTCGTATCGACCAGCTTCTCATAAATGGGGCAATATAGAAGCTCCTCTTCCTCCTTAAGCTTTGGGACCTCAGGTACTAGAATAGAACTGTCACCAAACATATTGCTATTATCAGTGATGGTGATTGAAGAGTAGTCTGGGTATCCTCCAAGAGCGTAGAAGACACGGGATGTAAACACAGCATATTAGTCATCAGTCAGGGATTGATAAGCAGTTGAATTGGCTTGATTTTGGTGTGTCATTATACCACTGGAATTAGGGTCTCCTCGTACAGGCACTGAAATGGTACCACAGTATGTCAGCTTACCATGTTTGTTGTGCATAATTTAGCAAAACCAACTAACTTGGATTGGCATTAGCCTCAATTGCAAAACTCGGCCAACGGTGCCACAGGTTTTCTCCGTGTGTCCCACGCATCAAGCCCCTGCAAAGAAAGAAAGCAAAATCAGGATATAAACTCATTGACTTCGGAATTTGGTAACTAGACATAGAAGGCCCACTTTAATTTCGTAATGTCCACACCGGAGACCATTGCAATCATGTGAATTGTATGGGCCAGGTCCTCAAGGACAGCCTGTCCTTCTGCAATGACGGCAGCGCTTAACTGATGATTCGCCAAGCGTTGTCGATTCAATTGTGCTTGAATTTGCCCGACAGGCCAGAATTTCTTGGCTGCATGATAGTTTTGCAAAGTAATATCAGAGAGGTTGAAATCGCTTTCATTGTGTGGTCCAGTGGTTCAATGGGGAAGTTGCTGTGTAGTAGATGGGGTTGTAATATGAGACACATTGGTGATAGTGGTATTCAAAGGCAAAGGAGGCTCATTGTCAGGCTCATCAAGATCGATCTCCTCCTGAGTCAGGTTGTCCTCCCGGCGGCAACGTTTAGCAGGGCGTTTAGAACCAGAGCGCATAGCTGGGGTTGTTGCCTTGGCTTGAGCCAAACGGGTCTCTTGTTGTGGTTGAGTTGTTGATGACATCTTGACAAGATGGAAGCTGGCGTCTACTTCTAGTTATTATTCTGAATAAAAATCCATGTTGGCATTTGATGATATTTCACATCTGTTACACGACATGTGTTTTGGTACATGATTGTTGGATGTTGGTGACATACACTATGGTACATGCTGTATTACGTAAAGATGAAAGCTGTACATAGTGATTATAAGAGCTTTGAATATTAATTCAGAATTTCAATTTGGAGTTTTGAAATATGTGTTGTAAAAATAAACTACAGTTCATCTACATATTTCCAACCAAGAGTTCAAGGACACTGACAGTACTGACAGTTCTCAGATTCAACCAAACACACCTAGATGACAGTCACAATGAGTTCTTCGACCTTGATCCTCGAGCAATGAAACATCAGCTATAGGATGGGTGGAATGACACCCTTGCAAGTCTTTATACATTCTATTCCCATGGCAAAGACGGAAGACGCATGCCGTATGATTCTGACTCTAAAGTCAAAGACCTCCAACCATGGTCGACATATGCTTCATGATATTGAACAGTGTACTCATAGAGACAAGTAAGGACCAGCAAGATACGGAAGATTATCTTTGTTTTGTAGATAATCTTCCGTGGGTGATTTCAACGTGGCAGATGATGGCTGACATTGTCAAACAAACGCATACGCCAGCCATCAAAAATTACACGCTAGCTCTCTCTTGTCAAATATGTGAGTTAAAGGCATAGGTCAATGTTACTTAGGTCTGTGACCGTGGACACAAGGCCCAGGGAGGTTGCTAAAAAAATAGATTGGTTCAGTTTCAACAATTTCCCAATTGGGAACAGCTTCTATATGCTCTATCACTACACAAAATATAATATTTTCTGGGCAGAAAATTAAATTATTGATACACAAAAATATTGAGAGGCCAGGAGAAGGGCAAAAAATAAATAAAAATATGCATCTTGTTCCCTGCAGTGAGAGCTTCACTCTCCATAATTTTCCATATTTTTACAGTCCGTATTGATAAGTGTACTAACAATAAACCTTCATAATCATCCAATCACAACCTGTAACAAGCACTGAAATTTGGCTCATTAGTGTTTAGAGAAACTTTTGATTTCTGAAAACACCTATAACTTTGTCAAATCTGCCTCAAAACACCCGATTTTAAGTGCATTAGAAAGCTGAACTCTTCCTCTCGAACTTTCATAAGGTCAAGAACTATGTAGCTAGTATGACAATCATTCTATGGGTCTGTATGTACAAATGTATAAAAAGATGATATCTTTTTTAGCAGACCAGCATGCTGTGTGGTCCTATTATGAACTATTTGGAGGACAATTCCAGCTTACCAATGCACCCAAAATCAAGCGTTTTGGACCGGAATTGAAAAAGTTATGAGTATTTTCAGAAATCAAAAGTTTCTCTAAACACTAATGAGCCAAATTTCAGTGCTTGTTACAGGTTGTAATTGGATGATTGTGAAGGTTTATTGTTAGTACACTTATCAATATGGACTGCAAAAATACGGGAAAATATGCAGAGTGAAGTTCTCAACGCAGGGAACAAGATGCATATTTTTATTCATTTTTTGCTCTCCTCCTGGCCTCTCAATATTTTTGTGTATCAATAATTTAATTTTCTGCCCAGAAAATATTATCTTTCTTGTAGTGTATACATCCCCCATACGCTTGGTGTATGTCACCTCACACTTCCCGCACTTTGCCCATTTTTCTTCTTATCAAAAAACCTCACCATGGGTATGCATGGCCGTGCTATAGCTTGCCCAGGTCCCTCTCAAATTCCAAAACGCAAGGTACCTCCAATCACACCAGCTGCTATCCAGAAGGCCAAAAATGACAAAGCAAAAGAAATGTGGGGCAAGAGAAGGTGTGAAGAAATCTGTGACGCACTCAACAATCCCCCTAATCCCACTCCCAATGACGCCAACCCTCATAATGATGCTGATCTTCTTGACGTGGACAATATGGCCAATCAGAATGCAAACATTGTAGATCTTGTCAACGACATTGATCAACCCCCACCGCAGCCCGTCACCTTCACACAATTGGTCTCAGGAGATAAATACAAGAATCACCAACTTTGACAGGATGCAGAGTGGGAGAACATCATGCCATCAATCTTCATAGAGTTTATGCAATGCTCAGAGCGGACTTCGAACTGCGGCAATGATGAAATATGAAACCACGACTTCAATGACACGCACCTCTGCTCATGCTGTGAAGGAGAAAAACATACTCGAGCAGTTGACACAGTCAACTTGATTTGTACGTTTTTTGATGATTTAAATCACATACTTGGAGATTCTCCTACAATGAATCTCTTTCAAGTTTTCCGCAAACTGCAGGTCCAATTCTGTTCCTGCATACCCGACCAAATTAGGTTGATCAATCAAGGTTATCTGGGAGGGACACCTAAGCAGCCTGAGACTGAATTTTCTCTACGACTCCTGCGCTTATATCACCTGGCATGGGAATATTGCCATGCAAATATTCAACCTTTTGCTTTAATGATCAACAAATTCCTTGATGCTTATAATCCTCTGATCCTTGTTGCTGGGACCCATGAGGTGTGCTCATATAATTTTCGATATCTTGGACATTCAAACTGACCAGACTTCTATTTCACATTTTGATGTAGCCTGGACTGTGGAGGGTGCCACTGACGGGGCAATAATTCGCTACAGACAAATATTAAAGGGGATAGAAGAACTTGAAACTCGCAGCCTCAACCTTACTCCTTTGCAGAGACTTGCAGCGAATTGCCCTAGGTGTTTTGGTCCAGCCGGTGCTTCAGGAATCCAGACTGGCCCCCAATACATAGTGTGTGTAGATGGAAACTTCCAACAGCGACGTCACGAAACCGCCAGTCAAACGTTTGATGAGATTCCACTCTCGATGCCTTCTTTATTTATGAAACCCGATGCAGTTGCCAAATGGGAGCCTGTGGTTTCAGGAAACGCCAGGCCTGAAGTTGATCTGGTATGTTATCTTATAGCATATATTATAACAATTATAGGATGGTTGTCAGATCATCATCAATGCCTGACCTCATGTCGTTCATTTTTCATAGGACCCTTGCACGCAACAACACACGGCAGCTGCGGACAAACGAGATGCTTCCAGCTGGTGAGGATGCAAAGAGACGGGATTGATAGGAATGGCTTGCCGACATGACCATATGCTGAAATTGGTCAATGTCATCCAAAGTGGTGAAAAGTGAGCTCGGAAAAATATTGGCCCATCATCTCACTGACTGGTACTCTTGTGATGCTCTTGAACAGGGCTTATTTTGTATATGCACTGCTGGGCAAACTATTTACTGTGATTCTTGAAGGATATACTGATACCAATAAGGCTGGTGTTGGGCTGTTATATGACATTGGATGTACCCTTGAAAAAGGTGTGAAGAAGGTAAGTTTGTCTTGGAACTTATTGTCAAATTATTGTCCATTGTATTTGACAAAAAACCCATTATCACAAACATTCAGCACAATCTCTTTGTTGATGAGCGAGCGCAAGATTGGTTGATATTTGGAACAAGTGCTTTTCATGCATATGTTCATCGGTGGAGCTGTCAACTGCAATACAATCCACGTCTCAATGCAAGGTGGGGATTATCAGATGGGGAAGGATTGGAACAAGAATGGTTCAAGGTATCACCTCTAATTGCTCCACTGAGGTGGGCGAGTCCACAGTTTTGGGTTGATGCTTTGCATCTGAAACTCCGGCATAACAATGCCTTATCTCGGCAGAAAGCAGGTATTGATATTGATCTATGTAAATTTGTTTGTTCTTATATTAACTTTCCTTTGGTTGATTGCAAATGATACAAATGTAACAGCAAAGTCAACTTTGCATAAGCTCAAGACGACTGAAAAAAAACTATATGAAGTGCGTAGCAAGCTTGACGAGCTGGAAAAAAGTGGTCTGACGACCGATTATTTAGGCAAACAATGGGAACAACAGCGAGCTTGCCATGCGTAAATAACTGGAGATGGGAGATTGATGACACTCAAGGTTCAACTGGCCTGACTGATCAAACTTGAGGAAGACTTTCAAATTGCCCAGTGAGTCTTTCTGAGAGCTCACTATCAATCATGAAGACCTATATTAAAGACAGTTTTATATTGATCAGCAAAGAACTGAAGACACTTTGACGCAAAAGGAGAGCAAATAGGTCTCAGGCTGAACATGAAGCTTTGCGAGAGCTTCCACCAACCCTTGTTGAACTAGAAGAAGCAATCACCAAAATTGCTGATGACTTAGGAGGTGATGCATTTCAAGATATACCCAAGGTGAAGGGTGAGTGTTTGATTGTAACTGACTTAATGAACTGAGAAATACTTATTAACTGAGAGATACTGATTTATGGCATATCACAGACCCACAAGCACGCCATACAATGGGAATTTGAATGACTAAGGAGTCGCTTTATGAAGCAATGGTAGAGAAAATGGAGTGGCAAAAGAAATGGAATCAGCCGGGGCTAGGTTAGTCTAAAGTACCATACCATGTGTTAAAAATAATTTATTGATCATTCATTAATGGATTACACTGTAAACATCATTCAACTTCCCCAATTTGGCAGAGGAAAATGATTAATAGTACAGTTTTTCATAAAAGAATCTAATACTGCACACCTGGGCCATTTCACCCACACTACATATGTGCAGCAAGCTAAGTCAATAGTTGTCTATCATGTACATACAGGTCTGCTCAGTTTTTTGCCCATCAGAATAAATAAATCACATGTTATACCACATGTAACTTTTTCGACTTTGAATTTTTTTTCCCAAAAATTCACTACATATAATTCTGTAGCTGCTCAGGCAATATTGTTGAAGCTATGTCTTAGTAACAGAAAGTGTGTTACATGCAGTTGAGTTGATGAGATCACACCAAAACATTGAGTCAGTGTATGTAGTCAATCTTTTGGAAGCTTTTTTCAATCTGAAAGAAGTTACAGCATGTATTACATATGAATAACTTGTCCTGATGAGCA